ACATTCTTGCAAGTTGCATGCTTGACTTTTCGCTGCTCATATACTCTTTGCATACTTGCTTGATATGTGTTGTGATTGTTAAATTTGTGCCTAAACTCCACTTAAACTTAAAGAAGTTAAAAACTGTAACTTTTGGTACTTTTAGTGTCTAATCACCCCCCTCTAGACACCTCTTCTCGATCCCTTTCAACTATGAGTTGCAATAACAAACTGGAAAGAACAGAAAATTAAAAATATTGACCAAGGAGTTCCATGAGACATGGGATTGAAATTAATTACCACACAACCATTCAAAGCCTTCAGTCGAATAAAATGCTGCGAGATAGAAGGTAGCAAGTCCAAACTTGTATAAGCATATATATATCTATGTAGAACAACAGGAGAAAAATAGAGAAAGTTCTAAGAATGCAGATCGGAGCAGCTTTATATAATGATGACAACTGAATACAAGCTTTGATAAGAAAAAATATAGGGATTCCCAATGGCATCTTAGTATAATTTTTGATCCGTGGAGAAGTCCAAAGTTTGAGAAAGCTCCTTCCTTACTCCAATTAAAATAACAATACAAGCAGAAAGAGATATAATCCATTAAATTACCCCAATAAGGTTGACATTCGTGAACCTGATCAACTGTTTGCACAACACACAAATCATAACTACACTTACGTGAGTCAGCACAAAACAAGTTGAAAGGAAAGTGCACGAAAGAACTAAGCAAAAGAAATTTACTGTACCATATAAAGATTAGCAAACCTCGATGGCGCCATTGACAACTTAGGCAAGCAGAGCTGTTGACATGTTCTGCAGTTCAATCCCGACTGGTACAGTCTAGTAACAACATGATAAAGGACATTAATTTAATGTAATTAAAAAGCTGAAGCACACACTATTTCTGAAAGGAACAATCTGACAGTAGCTAAGACTTGCACTTATACCTTAGTGTAGGAGAAAGGTAGTCACATTGATGATTAAGGATTCAGGGATATATTAAAACAGAGTAAGATTAATGAGGACCCACTGATGTATTGGTTGGCAGTTGAGAACCAGAAAACAAAGTAGTAATTTGAAACACTTAATCCTTATGATGAACATCATCTATAGTTCTACACTGCTAAGTATTAATAGGAAATGAGGACTGCTATTCAGTGCTCCTGTTAGCAGTGCCATTCAACCTATGTATTTATGAAATGTCGACTGATATTTTTGCAGAACAACATCAGGCCTTCGAGATGCATCACTCTCCATCTCCAAGATATCAGTGCTAATACGCAACCAGCTTGTCCGTACTTGATAGTGTTGTGGGTTGCAGAATATGTAGGTAGTATGTTGCTCGACAAAAAGAAGTCAAATTAATTGATTGCATGAGGAAATGGTTATATGATAGATCACACGAAGGACATACTGCGGTATCTTTTCGTTAAGTTTACTCAAGCAAAATTATAAGGACCTTTGACAAGCTAGTGTTGTAAATAGTAGGAGCATCAAAGCTTGTTGCATCATGACCCCATAGAGCAGCATCCAAAGTGTATCAACAATATTTTATTTAATTGAAGTAAGAAAGGAATTATCCATAGGATGTTAGGCTTTTGCTTGCTTATGGATAGAAGCAGAAGATGTTGAGGCTTCGCCTCCCTATACGACAACATGACTATGTTTTTTACACATTCTAATATAGTTTTCTAATTAATTTGTTCCCTATAACAACAATAAATAACACTGGAATTAATCATGCAGCAAAAAACATGGATGGTAAAATGTGTAAGTATAAGGCGTGGAGTATTTACATGTCCAAAAGCCATTTCAGATTATGAATTGCCGAACAAAAAATTCCCAGCACCAAGCTCCAAGATGTGCCAAAATCAGTTGAGTACAGCCAGCATGAACACCACCTCTATGTAGAATTCTTGGTATGAGAGGATATGAGGATAATGCAATTGCTTGGCACAACAATGAATCATATACATGAACTGAAAGGAGAAAACCTCCCCGAGCATCATGCTGAAAGATGTTTTGTTGCAGAGAGTGGAGAGGGTTAACAAAGAGTGGCCGGTGAGGAAGCATATATAGAAGTACCTATACCCCTCGGCAGCGGAAAGGATCGGCACATCAGCCGCCATTTTTTACCTTCAACCAATTTATCTAATTAAACATGCAAAAGACCTAGATCTGAACACCAACCATTGAACCATGTAGTGGGTAAAATCTACCGTGGGGCCAGAAAGTTGACTAAAGGCACCGAAATCATATCAAGGCAAGACCTCATACGCCTGTATCCTCGAGGGGCTTGTCCTGGTGCGCCTGCAAGTGGTCAGGCAAGCATGCATTGTTGGCGCTGAAGTACACCATGAAGTTGACTACGGGTTCGTCTCTTCCTCGTAGGCGGATCGCCCGGACCGGCTGGATCGACCGGCGTTCGATTCACCTGCATCCAGCGCCTATGGTTGATGCCCTCGAGCGCTGGATCCCTTGCGTCGACTGGATCCCCTGGACCGCCGGTTACCTCACTCGCGTCCTGTGGCTCGAGTCCGCTGGATCCCCTCGACCGCCAGTTCCCTTGCGTGCGTCGCGTCAACATCATCCCCTCTAGCTCTAGATCTAGCATCGCCTTGGCTCCTCAATTCCTCAGTCCTCTCCTCACCCGCGTGTCGGATGGATGCAGATGATAAATGGGCTAATGAAGCACCGATCGCTGCATTTTTTAGACATTCACCGATTGCTGCGCAGTGGTGGCTTCCTGAGTTAGATAGATAAATGGACCAATAAGCCCACTCAATGACAAGCCTTCAAAAAAGTCCCCAGAGTAGCGGCCTATAAGGACAGCCAGCCCAATCGCGGTAAATCGGCGCAGAAACACAGATCTGATGACAAGATATGGTTCAAACGCAAAATCTAATGGCCAAAATCATTGGGGGCCTGAGAGAGCTCGATTTAGGCTCAGTTTTATTGTCCTTAATGTGTTGTCAGCTGATGAAACACAAAAACACATGATATTGCCTACGGGATTGCCTATGAACACATCTTATGCATTTTTTTTCCTACTTATCTCTCAAAAAACACATTGGTGTTGCCTACGAACACATGGCGAATATTTGTGCATTTTTTGCCTACTTATCTTTCTCTGGTTGCCTACAAAAACACATTGGATTGCCTAAGAAACACAGATAAAAAAATGGTGAGCATTTATGCATTATTTTGCCTACAAAAACACACAGTATTGCTTACGAACACAGATAAAACATGGCAAAACATTATCTAGTGTTTTTGCCTGCTTATCTCTCTCTGATTGCCTAAAAAGACTCTCTCTAATTGTTGTTGCCCATGTCCTGGAATCTATGTGGTTCTATTCAGAAACTGATGCAGAGAAAAGGCTGCCGCAGTCCCTCGTGAAAAACTCTTGAGCACCACCACCCCAACCGCCCGGGATCCTCTGGTGAAAATCCAACTACCCCCGAATAGCCTACGAACTGAAAATACACCACTATGAAAATGATTTGCTTCGTGGTCTACATCCACCGCCATTCCTCGCGTCCTCCTGTGGCCCTTGATGACGACGAGGCGTCGGCGAAGAAACCCCACTAACCACGCAATGTGCGAGCGAAAAAATGTCGAAGAAACTGACCTCAAACCGTTGATGGAGCAGGATCACTCGTCTCCGGTCGTCCGTCGCCTCGTGCAAGCCACCATCTTCGCTCACTTCCTTCTCCTTCCGTCCACGCGCGCGACTCCTATCCCGTCGAAATTGCTGGAATCCTCCCGCCTCCGCCGCTCCGCTGGTTCGTTACCTTCTCCGCTGCTTAATTCGTCACCCTAGCTACGCTCGTCGTGAAGCTCTATGGGTGAGGGATTTGTGGATTTCTCTCTCCCTCTTGTCGCCGGGCAGAGAGAGGGAGTGGGGAAGGGGAACTAGGGGACTGGAAAAAAGCTGGGCGCGTCTCCCCAAATTTCCAAGGGGAAGTGGCAACAAAACGGCGTCTCGTTTCTGTCCGCTTGGTCAGTCCACCTCTCCACGTGTCACGATCTTACG